GATAGATAGATAGATAGATAGATAGATAGATAGATAGATAGATAGATGATAGACAGACAGATACCAGTTTTGTGCAAGACCTGCTTGACCATTACATACACTACGTGCACATGTTGTATGAGTGTAATTCATTGGAAGCTTGCTAATAAGACCAACTTTCAATCACATCCCAGTCAAAATGCAGAATTTGACAGACTTACGGTCATACTTTCGCATTAGCAAGGCCACTCTCGGAGAGAAATCAACAAACAAACTGGATATTCAAGATATGATATTCAAGACCGAAAAATAATTACAGATGTGGTCAGTAAAACTTTGATACGACAACAAATCTAATGGTGGCTTAAGACTTTTGCACACTACTGTATATTACAGTAATCCAGCATCTGGATTATAATCTAGAGCTTCTCAGTTCTAAAATACTGTCTTATGTTGGGTTGAATTCAGAGCTTTTAACACCACCAGGATACCTTTTATTTCCTAATTTCTTATATGACACTTGATGCTGGTTTTCCCCATTCTCCAGAATAGATTTTCAGGTTATTGCATAGCTGAGGAGGGTGACTGAAATAAATCTCCTCCATTGAATCAAAAGCCCCATCTTCTGATGGGCAGGATTGTTTCTTCTCCAGGAAACCTTTATGACCTCCAGCCCTTTCACTGTAGTAACTTTATAAGCACTTTAACCCTCTTTGGTCAACTAATTTACCAATTTTATTTTTGACCAGCTAAGTGTCCGTGTTAACAGATTTTCTGTTCTTAGATTTATGAGAGTTGTAGGGCATTGTAAATCCAGAGAGTTTCCTTCTGCTCTGTGTTGCAGTGAAGATCCACTTTTGTGCCTTAGTTGGGTGTCTCAAACTGTCTTTCAAGCTTGAATAATGCAGGCTGCTTTGAGGTTATTGCAAATAGCAAGTGGCCTTTATGAAGGTTGGGGTGCATAACAACAGTGTCAGTTTCTCAGCAAGATTTCAGCAGCGGAGTCATAAATTAACCTTTAAATGCCATCTGGAGCATCTTTCTCTTAAAGCTGTCTTTAAAGTGCTTATCTGAAAAACAGGGTTCTGTCAGCAAGGTTGAAGTTGTTTGTTAGAACAGTTGTTTGCTGTCAGCAAACTATTTTAAGTGGCTCCAGTTGGTATATGACATTTGCTTCTACTGTACCATGTGTAGAAGAACGGAAACACCCATTTATTCTATACGTATTAACACACACAAACACACAAATGGATTTTTGTTAGTACAATTTTTTTTTTTGTTTCATAAATGGATTATACTCTAAGCCATTTTTATGGAAATCTGGGTATTAACTCTGTGGAAGGAATTACAAATACAGTAAAAGAGAGACAGCTAATATACCCTAGAGGTATGTAAAATGTGGTTTTGCCCTTTTCTCAGACAAGAATTTAGACATTTGGGGTTTATTCCCCCCCCCCCCCTTGCTTTAAAACAAACAAAAGTACAAAACTACTACAACAGAATGATGGGAGCTGGAGATGTCATCTTAAAGCAACCAATAAATCTCAATAGCAACCTTTTCCTGTTGCCATTGGTTGGTATGGCAATTTTAGTTCTTTTTTCTCAGTTGTTCACCAGTTCCTTATCTTGTATGTCTTTTTTCCCTAGGGCAAGCAGAAACAAACCAAACGCACAACCACATTTTTCCAGTTCTGCAATGCAGACTCTGGAATACTCTTATGCACAGATGTAGCTGCTCGTGGGCTGGACATTCCAGAGGTTGATTGGATAGTTCAGTATGACCCACCTGATGACCCAAAGGTATACACACATCCTCGAAAATTATATAATTTAAATATGCATTAATGCGAATTGTATGTGTGGCAACTACTAAAACAGGCATAGGGATGTTTTATGAGTTGACATTAGGGCAATTGCTGGAATCCTAACCTGTGTAATATTAAAATAGGAAATTAAAGCAGTCTGGGATAGTTTCTTTTTAATTAACTCCAGCAAAGCTGAATTTCATATGTTCCTATTTTTATTTATTTATTTTATTTATTACTTTTGTATCCCGTCTGTATCTTGGATACACTGTTTTAGCATTGTAAATGTCTTCAGTGTCAGTCCAAGGGTTAAGCCATTTCAGTTGGGTGCCTGGATAGGCACTGGCTTATAAGTGGCACTGGCTTTGAGGAAAACAAGAGAATGAACTCATATTAGTGATAGGCTCTGGGATGCTAGAATGCCTTAGTAGCCGAATCCTGAATTTAGCTATTGTTGAATCAGATGCTGACAATCAAAAATAAATACATTCAAAAAGAGTCTGCTGATTTAAAACCTCCAGGCTGTTTGCTTTATTAGTATGCAATTTGTAAAGCATATCAAATACAAATAGGGGACTTTGGGTAAATTTGCATGGCCTTCCATGCTATGCTTTCATGATTATCAACATGAAACCAAAATGTCAGTTTATACTCTTATTACTTCCCATTAATGAAAGGAATATATTCATCGTGTTGGGAGAACAGCCCGTGGAATCAATGGAAGGGGACATGCCCTGCTCATTTTACGGCCAGAAGAACTGGGATTCCTGTGTTACCTTAAGCAAGCCAGGGTAAGTTGCTATGGAGTACTGTAGCATCGGTACCACCGTTGCTGGTAACCGTGATGATCAGTCTTTTTTTCTCCAGTAATATGAGTGTCTTAATGTTTAATGTTTAATGATATAACTTCACTAGAAATGCAGGGCAGCTGGCCTAGCTGAACTGTGTAATATGGAATATAAAAGAAGGGAGCAGTTTTAATCCAAATTACCTTAGAATAAGTAGTTGTACTAATTGGTTGCTGTGATGGTGAATTCAGATTTCATATGGTTGCTAGTACCTAGGACAGTGATGCCTAACTTTTTCATCCTCACATGCCGAAAGTGTGGGCGTGTGCCTGCACCCATAATGCAATGCGCACTCGACACCACCACCACCCCCGCGCATGCATGCGTGACCCCTCCATCCACATGCTGTGCATCTCTGCACATGCACGTGTCTCCCGCCTGCGCCCCGTCCCCATGCATGTGTGGCAGATACCCGACAATCAGCTGGCTGGCGGGAGGCGCGCACGCATGCACAGTGGATCTGATCTGGGGCGATGGCTCGTGTGCCGGCAGAAAGAAGCCATGAGCTTTTCAATAGATTAGGAGTTTTTAAAAAATCTAGCTTAGCAATGTGTACATCCAGCCAATGTTTACATTTCCAGAGTTAGATTATCTAAGTTTAGGTGTGTTGAAATGTATTATATTCTTAATATTTTGTGTTTCCATTATGTAGATTTTTTTGTTGAGAACTTATCTTTATATTTTAGGTGCCATTAAGTGAGTTTGAATTTTCTTGGTCTAAAATTTCTGACATTCAATCTCAGGTAAATATAAACTATACTATGAATATTTTAAAAACTTACCTTTTTTCATTTGTATAGCTAATAAAGTATTCAGAAACAGTTCAATGATGCAAAAAACCACAAAAGATTCACAGTGGTTTTATTTTGATATTCTTGTGAATTGTGATAATACAGATCCAAACATCTGATTAAATCGGGTGCAGTACAACATTTCTAGTTAAGAATTAACTTGACTACTTTTCTAACATTTGCTATCTGTGCAGCTTCGGCACAAGATACCCAGATTATGTACTCTGGTTATAAGAACTGAGCCTTAAACAGAGTACAGATGAATGTATGTATGAGCATTTGGATTTGTGATTTTTTTAGAAAGTTTTTTTTAGAACGATTCTCTGGATGAAGTTGGGGTATAGGAGGGATAGATGGCAAAGAAAATGAGAGCAAGGCCAATTCTTAGTATATAAAAGAAAGTCCACTTCTAGGATGTTGCATGTATCCATGGAGAAGAATCAAATTGTGGCAATAAATTGTGACTGCTTTAGATAGTAGGAAAGCTTTAGATGAGAATGTTTCAATGCAAGCAACTAAAGTAAGTTGCTTTATAGTGCAATGTTTACAATTATCAGTGATGCCTTAAGAGTGTTTTCCAGAATTTTAGGCAGGAATTTCTCCAGCTAACCTATCTGGAAGTTGCTCGTGTGCAAATCAAGTACTTTATGGTTGAGCAGGGGTCTTTTCCTAACTATGATCGTAGTATAGTAGCTAATCTAATATTTGAACTAATAACAAAAATAATATTATTCTATACCCATTAAATCTAAAATGTATGTTTCAGTATCATGAATTTCAGGGTGGAGTGCAATGCAAAGATACAAATAGTTCCCTGCTTGGATAAATGTCAGCTACCTATAAATAGTTTGTGACAATGAAGTAAAAAAAAAAATACAATTCTTTGTGCCTCTTTATTCATAAAATTTCAGCTGGAAAAATTGATTGAGAAGAACTACTTCCTCCACAAATCAGCCCAAGAAGCATACAAAGCCTATATAAGAGCTTATGATTCCCACTCTTTGAAGCAGATCTACAATGTCCATAACTTGGATTTGCTCAAAGTTGCTTTGTCCTTTGGCTTCAAGGTCCCGCCATTTGTTGATCTCAGTATCCTTTCACTACAAGTTAAATTACTTTTCCTCCCTCTTTCTCTCTTTTCCTGTTTTTTTCTCCTCACCCAATAATGTGCTTGCTTGAGTTGGTTGGTGGCAATTGTTGATGATAATAAATCATTTAAAAGTTAGTGAGATACTAATAAACTATAAGATAAATTAAATATGAGGAAGAACAAACTTTAGATGCACGCTTGCTCGTTTGTGTCGTAAGATAATCTCATTTGTTGTGAAGTTTGAATGCTGTTATTGTAGTGATCTTACATGTTAACTATTTTTGTACAGTGCCTGTTGTGGGGAGGGAGCTGCTTAGATATCTAGCAAACTTTGATATAAGCTGACAGTGAATGATGGGAGCAGAAATCCAATGTATCTGGAAAGTTCCATAGTTAAGGAAAACTGGTCTTGAATCAACTACTACTTTGTCCTCTTTTGAGCTAACTGATGTGTTGCCAGCAAACTAATGTTGTGCTTAAGTGAAAGACTTATGTCAGCCTCTAAAGCAGGACTGTCAAACTGGCGGCCCACAGGCCGGATGTGTCATGTACAGGCCATGCCCAACCCAGCTCCACAAAGGCAAAAAACATTGCAATACTTCACATGACGCAATCAAGTTTGACACCCGTGCTCTACAGGTCCACAGCTCGTTTCCACATTTAATGATGGTATCAAAAAAAGAGGATTAACTTTGCTAGCTGTCTGTAGGAAAACCAATGGAAAAGCTAAGACCAATAATAACCAGGCAAGTCTATCTATAGTTAGGAACGAACTAAACATTTGTTGCGGAAATTAGGACACCTTCCACTTTTGGTGCCATGCTTTTAGCTGTTATTTAGTGCACTTTTTTTGAGCCTACGTTCCTTAACATAATCTTCAGATGTAAACAGCAGCCATGGAAAGAGACTGCAAAGAAGAGGCGGAGGAGGCGGCTTTGGCTACCAGAAGGCAAAGAATGTTCAGAAATCCAAAATCTTCAAGCATATTAACAAGAAAAAATCTGACAACAGACAGTTTTCTCGCTGAATTGCTTTATTCCGTGTTGACTGAAATGGCTGTATTACTTTTCAACCAATGTACAATCTTATTCATTTGGGGACAGAATTATATGCACAGATTTTAAATTTAAGCTCAATATTTCAACATGATCCAGTCCATTCTAATCATTATCTTAACATGGAAGAATCCTGTATGTTGTCTCCCCAGCTGTTCCATGAATAGTTGTAGACAATGGGATCTGATCCTGTACTCCAGATGGTATAAGCTAATTTGTAGCTTCTTCACAGTGCAGGTACCAGTGTAATCAGCTTTCTGATTGCCTAGAAATCTTCCAAAAACACATCCCATGATCACAGTGTATAGTATATTATATGGTTCTTTTTACTTTTCTTCTACAAGCTGTTTGAAATATTGGGCATATTCTGGAATTTGACTATAAACTATGTATGGGTTTAAAAAATAATAATTTTCTGATGTAAAGATTTTTACTGGGATGATCTTAATTGTAACTCAAAGTTTGGCTACTAGGATTATACTTAAACCTGAAATGTTTTCTCTTCTCAGATCTAGTGATGTCTTCAGAATGACTTTTTGTAACTAGTAAAGGAAGTTTGAAGCAGAAAGGACCATTATTTTGCAATTATATAAAGTCATACTTTGAAAGTCATAAAATAAATAAATTGGGAAAGCTTGTACTTTGTGTGAGTTAAATGGTTACAGTCGGGAAGATAGCAGATGTTGAATTAGCATGTGGGCTATGCATTCAGAGTTGCCAATTCTGATCTGCAGGTGCTTTCTTAAATCTCTTATACAAGCTTCCACCTCTGTTGCAAATGCATTTATGCCTTGTTTACATAGCTGACTTGTTTGGAAGAATTTGCCTTTTGAAATTGCTGCAATAGCACAACACGGGTAGTCATGCTTAGCTGGGAGTCATGCATGGGAATTTGGCACAGTAACAGTTTAATTTATTATTATTATTATTATTATTAGTAGTAGTAGTAGTAGTAGTAGTAATATAGTTAGATTCACAGACTAAGACTGTGTGACCAAAATGATTCAAGTCCTAAGCAAAGACCTAAGAATTATTAAAATAGTGTCTTAAGAACAGAGGCAGTTTCAAGCCAGGTTTTGGGTGTGTGTGTGTATCAAATTAGGATGTTCATGTTCAATAAATTCAAAATTGAGATACATAAATTCAGATATTGAGGGAGGGCTTTAGCTATAACTCCAAGGGCTCCAATCACAAATGTATAATGATATATTTCATTTTCTTAAAGCGTTCAAGTCCTGATATTTTATATTTTTTTTCCTATTTCCAGTCTTCAATCCCAGCATCACCCAGTATAGCAACATCAATGAACCAGCTTTCCTGCTTTCCAGTGACTGCTCCACACCAGGCATATTATGATGAACAAGATGCCTGTGTGTTTGGATCTTAAAAGTCCCATAAGATCTTAACTCTCTCATTTTCCAAAACCTTTTCAACTCGATGGTCCCAGTAATTTTTACTACATTCAAATCCAAACCTCTGCCAAAGTTTCCAACTAATAATTTCGGCCAGGCAATCATAACACTGCTTATAGTCAGTTTGTGAATTTTTTTATTACTATTTAAGAACTTCATGTAAAGGTTCACTATTTTCCATTTTAATGAGGCAGCTTCTGGATACACTGTTCTGTGGATTTTTTGGGAGGCAGGGCACATCTGATTGTGTAGATGTAGTATGTAGATGTGGGGCAGGTGGTAAAGTGTTTTCTTTGATCCAAGAAAAAGACCTGGATTAATGTGAATCTCTGCAGCTTGAAGATGTGTAGATTTCACATCTTCAGCCAGGGAATTCTGGGAGTTGAAGTCCACACTTCTTCAAGTTGCCAAAGTTAAGAAACACCGATCTAATGTATACAGTAGTGTACAAATAGGATACTTGTCTTCTGTGCATTACTTTTAGCTTTATAGTAACCTATAAACGATAAAGATTAACTGGAGAGCTAAAGTTTCCTGTGCACTTTTCCTGTTATCAATCTTAAGGTTACTTAATAGACTATACTATCCCACGCTCAAGGCTTGTCTCATAAAGATGAAAGATGCTTTGAACACTAACCCTGTGTTTCTTGAGGAATTGTCTCTCATTCAGAGAACCTTGACAATGAAATTGGACTTTGTAAGCCAGCTAAAAGCAGGTGATCAAAATAGGATCACGTGGGAATTTTTAAAACAAGAATTGCCTTACTGTGGCTCCCAACAGTGATAAATAATCTGGTACAATCCAAGCCTACTCACTAGAAATGTCACATGCAGGCATTAAAAAGCTATTGCAATCGAGATGAAATGGTACAGATAGACAATATATTGACTGCATAGTGGTGTGACGATTTCATAAATTAGATAACGCTGGTTTCATAATAGCAACTGAACAAACAACTACCAACTAGAGTTGTTCTGCTATATAATCTGCCTTACTTTCAAATAAGTAAATTGCACAAGGAAAGAATTATGAAGATCATTTGCGGCATCTAAAATGTATTTTCTGTGTGGAGGGAATAATTTTGGCACTCTTAACTACAGAAAGAGTCCATTATTGTGTGGGAGATACCTTTCTCTATAGAGTAAGTGAGTAAATCAGCCATAAAGAGTGGTTACTTATAAAATGAAAAGCTTTCAGTTTGTAGATGAAATTAGCCTTATTAACTAGGGCATCCACTACAGCACATAGATGATCTGAATGTTTTCATCAGAGGCTGTAATAATAGCAAAATTGTTTTGCTTGTGGTGCTTCTGCAGCCTACTTTATTCCCAAGCTTCGCTGTCAATGCTAACCAATACACTGAAAGAAAGAAAACATATTTTACAGTTTTCTGTAAAGTGGTACGTAATGCCTCAACATTTGTAACAAGATAGTTTTAACCAAAAATGTTTAAATATTCCTCACCCATATCATTAAAGAGCTGAATAACCACTCTAAAATTGCTTTTATACTGCAGATGGAAAAACCCTGCCCCCTCATGCTAATTATTTTAGACATTTTGTTTCTAAACAACCTATAATCTTATTTTCTACCACTGTAGCCTTCTCTGACACAAGCTTTATGCTCAGTCACTCTCACACACAAACACATTTTGTTGATAAACTCACTCACGAACATATTTTTGTAGGAAAATTCTCATTTTTAACATTTCTGTGCACTGATGCTATCTCCTGTACGCATTCTGCCTTTATCTTAGCAAACACGGTTTCGAAACAAAGTGATGTTCATGTTTGCTTTGTGCTCTCCCGCATTCAGATTCTTCTTCTAACTCAAAAACAAAAGGAATGATAAAAGGTAATTAAAGAGTTGATTGTACTGGTTGCCAAAGCACTCAGTTTCTTGGGACAAGATAGGAAACTGATGTGGCACGTTTCCACTCATAACTGCAGTCATCATGAAGAAAAAAGCTTAAAAAAAATCAATGCATAGTAATAGTTGCAAACTTAAAATGTGAAATATGATTAGCCTCCCCATGTTTTTTACAATCTTGCTAGGTAAGATCTCTGAATGATTGTTATACTCCCATTTAAAGGGAATTTAGCTTAATCTAAGCCTGTTTTCTTTTACTCCAAATTATAGCTTGCCCATGAGGGAACTTAAGAGGTTATCATTGCAGCATGATTATCTACAAAATAAAAGCAGTTTCCCCCTCCCTCCCCCCAAAAACATTGCAATAATACTTGATAAGTAAAAAAAGAAAAAAGAAGGCAGCTTAAGATATGAGGGAACTCCATGACCCCTTAGTGAAAACCTTCCTCACTGATGACAATTATTTCTGTCCACTCATGTCCACTCACCCTCCGAAACTGACACAAACATTTTGCTGGTAATGCCACCTTTCTGCACCTTCCCAGCTCCACTAATTTTCTCACAGATATTAAAGACCATCTTATCAAACCATTACTGTTTTTCAAATAGACAATTTTTTTATTAGTGCTAAATCCGTTGGTGTCCAAAAGAAAGACTCACTAAATGCAGTGTTGAACCTGGAGAGCGTGTAGATGTATTTTCAAAAGGGTAAAGACAAACTCTTTGAAGAAAAAAAATCAACCCAAGGAGAGCCACGAAGTGCTGAATATCGGCTTGAGGAAAACTCACTCATCCTGAACAGTGGTGGGATTCAAAAAAAATTACTACCAGTTCTGTGGGCGTGGCTTGGTGGGCATGTTGTGGCTTGGTGAGCGTGGCAGGGGAAGGTTACTGTAAAATCCCCATTCCCTCCCCACCCCACTAACCTGCTTTTCAGCTCCGTTCTCCTTTGCAGGGTAACCAAAAAAGACCCAGCTAATCAGCTGGGACTCAGGAGGCAGAGAATAGATGGGGGCGGGGCCAGTCAGAAGTGGTATTTGCCGGTTCTCCGAACTACTCAAAATTTCCACTACCGGTTCCCCAGAACTGGTCAGAACCTGCTGAATACCACCTCTGATCCTGAAGCTACAAAATGAATTTTGGGCTCATAACTGAATGCATCTGAGTTATTGGAAGTTGGTGAAACTTCTATTGAGAAGAGCATTCCAAAGGATATCCAATACTTCTGAGAGCTTTCTCTTCGTTATTAAGAAGCTAAGCTCTTAAGTTATTGCTAAAGAAATCTGCAGAAATATTTTCAACACTTTTTTTTTATCTAAGCCTATTCACCAATAAATTTAGGTTTGTTCATTCCATGTTTACCATTCAAATAGTAACAGAATTGTGAAAGCTTCTTCCTGAAAAAAAATTGACCAGTTCAGGATATCCTAGTCTGGTCATAAGAACTAAACACATTGTCATTATGTGCATTTTATATATGGGTGTGAAGATTATTTCTTAAAATATAATTAATAGAGCAGCAATTACCTATCCAGATCTTCAGTCTTTGCTTCAGGTATCCTGAACAGAATCTATCAGAATGGTATACAGGTAGTCTTTAAGTTATGACAATTGGGCCCCAAATTTACATTGCTAAGTGAAACATTTGTTAAGTGAGTTTTGCCTCATTTTACGACCTTTCTTGTCACCATTGTGAAGTGAATGACTGCAGTTGTTAAGTTAGTAACACGGTTGTTAAATGAATCTGGCTTCCCCATTGACTTGGCTTGTCAGAAGATCGCAAAGGCTTATCACATGACCCCAGGACATTGTAACCATCATGTATACGAGTCAGTGGACAAATGTCTGAATTTTGATCATGTGACCATGATCGTGTGAAAAACGAGTCATTTTTTTTTTAGTGCTGTTGTCATTTAGAACGATCACTAAATGAACTGTTGTGAGTTGAGGACTACTTAGTCCACCTTCCTTTAAGCTGTCCAAGTACAGGTAGTCCTTGGCTTACGACCACAAAACGGAGCTCAAAATTTCTGTTGTTAAGTGAGGCTGCGTTTCGCCCCATTTTTACCACCTTTCAACTATTTACAAAGTCTGCACTAACTACTATTCATCTTCTCATCACT